TTTGCTTAAGTTTTCAATTTTATATAGATAGTTCTTTAATAGTTTTAAGCTTTTTAAGTTATCAGATGGGAAATATATAATTACAGATAAATTTAAATTAGCATTCACTCTCCTTTAATACTATCTTCTAATTACATAGTTCTTCTTCAACTTTTACTGAAATTGTTATTATTTTAATTGCAGTTTATATTTTATTATCTAATTTATTAATTGTTATTTATATAGACTCTCAAGCTATTATTACTTTCTTCTAAAAAATTTTTTTTATATTTTATGATTTTTTTTTAATCAATTCTACTTTTAAGATTCTATATTTTCATATTTGATCTATAATGTTTAGTCTGATTGCTAATTAAATCTTTTTATTTTTTTTACTAAAATTAAAGCAAAATATACACCTATTTATTAATAATGCATATCTTGATTCTAGTTTTTACCTTTATTACAATTCAACTTTTATAATTTTTCCTTCACTTCTTTTTTAAAAAGCTGTTTAAGTTAATTCTTATTATCACTTCTATACTTATCAAAATATGATAGCAAATCTGTAAATTAATCTCTTTTTTACAATATACTTAATAATGAAGAAATCTCAAAAATGACTTTATTTAAAAAATATTTTAAAAGAAATTCAAATTTAAAATCTTACTATAATTACTCTCTACCTTAAAGATTTTGCAACTAGACTACCTACTATTTATATATCTTTACGTTACATCTGTTATCACACTACTACTGAAAATTTTAATTATCTTTAGATATGTTCTAAAAATATACTTACAATTTAGAACATCATTTATATACACAAATCAACCTTTATATCATATCTTAAAGATTTAAACATTCTTAAAAATAATCTATTTATACAAGAAATATTTGTAATTAACATATGATCTTCTGCTCATGTAGCATATAAATTTTATTTTCTTAATTTGATCAAAGACATAATTTCAACCTCTTTCTTAAATATGATTAATCAATACATATCCTTTAAATCCTTGATACAAGGCTTCTTATCATTTTTTTATCATAAAATCTTTATTTTCTATTATAACCTATAAGTATAAAGAAATATAGCTTACAATAAATAGAAAATATTGAAAATGATTACATAGTATCTTGATTTTTCTCTGGTTTTTCATCTTTTTCTTTTCTTTTATCTATTTTCAATTTTTCCTTCTTTATAATAAATCACTATTTATGGCTCTTACAATAGCTATCAAAAGTATTACATCACCTGAATATAAAATTTAAAATAGAAATATCTTATAATTTAAAAGACACATTGTTATAAAACTTAAATATAGGATTCATTATATCTTAATCTTTATCAATCTTTCATCTTTTTTTTAAGAATATTTTTTTTGTTATGAATCTTTCATCAAAGTGGTGATGCATTTCTTTTGATTGATTTAAAAAATAAATATCAATACTTATTACATAATTTTTTGCTTCAAAATAACTATATGACACATATAAAAAAGATGCCTTATGGTATTTTTCGCTTTATTGTAATTTTATAAAATATCTATAGTTTATTTTTCTATTGAAAAAAAGTTAGGATTTGTATCTTATTTGACAAAGATTTTCCCTCTGCTATATAGCAAATAAGAAAAATATTTTTTAATTAACTATTATAAAAACCAAGCAACATAAAGATAAAACTGATAACAATAAAGACTAACCTAAATCTGAATATTTGCGACTCTTAACTGATTAATATAAACGAAAAGTTTTAAGATTAATTATAATAAGTGAATGTAGTAATGCTATTGTAATTCAAAAAAAATTTAAAAATAGAAAAACAAATTGAAGTTAGTAAATATACAGTAAAGAGAACTTTACATAGAAATAGAATGAATATAAGAGTTAAGTGCAAAAAAACTATATTTTTAAAAAACACATAGAATTGTAAGGATGAAATTTGCAAAAAAATACAAATTATAGACAGTTGAAAATTGGAATAAAATAGTTTAATCAGATGAGTCAAAATTTATAATTTATAGATTAGATAGTAGAGAGTTTTATTAGAAAAACTAGAAGAACTATTACGCGATCATTATGTTAAACTAACAGTCAAATTTAGATAAGATAATATTATAATGTATGAATATTTACATCTGATGGGATTGGTAACATATGCTGAATTTATAGATATATGAATAGTGATTTATATTACTAAATTTTAAAGGAAGACCTATTGAGAACAATTATGTGGTATATAATAAATAAGAAAAATATTATTTTTCAACAGGATAATGATCCTAAATATACTATATATCTTACAAAGCAATAGTTTAAAGATAATGGAATTAAAGTTCTTGATAGGGTAGCATAATCCCCTAACTTAAATCCTATAGAACACCTTTGGAATGAAATAGATCATTATCTGAGGCAGCTTAAAACATTTATTAGAATACAGAATTAGTTATAGAATGCAATTCAAAAAATTTAGATTGAATTAGGGTCTGTTGTATATAAAAAGTTATTTGATACTATGCTAACTCATATAAATGATTTAATTAGAGTCAATAGTAGCTATATAAAATGGTAAATAATTATTTACCAAAATTTTAGTATAATTGGTTTGATTTTTGATTTTTTTTTATATTTAAAAAATTTAATAAAAAAACAATTAAAAGAAAAAGATCATCTAATTGTTCAAAAATAAATATTTTTTAAAAATTTATCTCATTACTATAAAACGATTTTCATATATTGAATAAACTTAGTTATAATAAGTTTAATAAATAATTTATATGACACTACACTATCTTAATCATAAGAAATGCTATTTTAAAATTTGTATTTAGGTAATGCAATACTTTTGAGAGCCACTGTATTAGTTAAAATTTTAATATAGTAATAATTATGCATTTTCTTTTAGACATTTGATAGCTGTTTAATAATTTAGTTTACTTTTTTCTTTTCTTTTCTATTATTTAGTTTAATTCAATAAAGTATAAGATTAGTATTGATAAAATAGTTTAGTTATAAATTGGTTTATAAATATTTTTGTATTTTTGTTTTATTTTATTTTACTTTGTAATTTATAAATTTTAATAAAGATCATGCAAAATTACCACTTAATAAAAAATTTGTCAGAATACTTTTTAAAATTTGGACTTTAAAATAAGTATAAGATTATGATTTTAATATTTATGATTGATAAGTTATAATCTTTTAAAAGTAATCAATTACATTTATATTTCTTTTAATATTTATTATATAAAAAAAATTTTATCAAATATTTGTAAATTTATTTTAATTATTAGAAAAATATTATTCTTAAATATCTTTTACTTAATATTACTCTTATTTATAACCAATTGATCTGAATATAATTAATAATTTAAAATTAATAATAAATTTAAATATTAATTTTTATTAAAATAAAGTTTAATCTTATAATTTTTCTTAAATATAAATAATATTATTATCAATACTTAATAAAGCAGTTTGATAATGAAGATATAAACTGCTAAATAAGATTTTTTTTTTATTTAAAAAAATTAAGTTTGCTAGAAGCAATTAATTATCTGTAAGATACATAATTAGATGTATCACAAAATACTATTTAAGAATTTTTTGTTAGTATCATTCTTATAAAGAAAAAATAAAACATATATATAATAAAATTTTTATATATCATTGAAAAAATTATAATAATACTTATAAAAATTATTAACAATAATTTTATATTGTAGATTTCTCAAAAAAAAAAAAAAAGTGCATAACGATACAATATTTTACCATAATTATATACATTTCTTTCAACATCCGTCTTTACCTCCAGGAAGTCTCATAGTCAAATACATAGTTCCATCGTTCTGGACGTTATATTCTGGCAGCTTTTTATGGTTTTCTCTTAATTCATAGGTTGTGTAAAAAAGTCTTTGTTCATCCACTGGGAGTCCTATAAAAAATGGTTCAAAAATGAGTGATTATCATCATTGCTATTCTAAACTAAAATTATATATACCTTCACGTTCCTGAATTTGCTGTTTGACATTTTTGACGGTATCATCCCCAGACACCCTAAGAGTAATCGTTTTTCCTGAAAGTACAACTACGAACAAGGTCATACACAAATACATAGTCCCTTCGTTCTGGAAATCATAGTCTTCCAGCTTCTTTTCTTTGAGTAGTTCTTTGGTTTTGTAGACAAGCCTTTGTTTACTCACTTGGATTCCTATTAAACATGTTTCAAAAATGAGTGACCGACAGCGTGCATGATTTTCCAAATTAAAATTATACCTTCAAGTTCCTGAATTTTTTCTTTAACACTTTCGACGGTGTCATTTCCAAACACCCTAAGAGTAATCTTTTTTCCTGAAAGTAAAATTACGAACAGGGTCATACACAGAAACATAACCCCTTCGCTCTGGAAATCATAGTCTTCTAGCTTCTTATCGTTATGTACTTCTTCGGTTATGTAGACAAGCCTTTGTTTATTCACAGGGATTCCTATTGAACAATGTTCTCAGAAGGAGTGACCAACAGTTCGCGTGCTATCCCAAATTAAAAAATTATACCTTCAAGTTCCTCAATTTTCTGCTTGACATTCTTGACGGTGTAATCTCTGGTTACGATAAGAGTAATGGTTTTTCCTGAGTTTAGGACTACGAACAGGATCATAATGTTTATTAAACCTTTGCCTTGTAGTTTGGCTAATTTCTCATAAACTCCGACCACAAAACAGAGAAATTCTTTAATAGAACATTTTGTCCTTATATGGCTAAAAACAGCGTGATTATACACTAAAAGTGCTTTCCTTTCAAAAATTCTATCTGGATTGAAACATTTCGGAACACTCACTCATGACAAAAGAATGCAAAATTTGTTGCAATGACTTGCCCCTTAACGAATTCACGATCTCTACTACCAAGTGCGGCCATAAAGACGTATGTCACGCTTGTCTCAACAGAAACATTAATTATCAATTGAATACAAAAGGTAATGCTGAAATTGAGTGTTTAGAGAGAACTTGCAAAGTTTTGATGGAATATGAAGACATGAAGCGAGTTGCCAGTAAAGATTTGTTTGAAAGGTATATACATATTTCCGTATCTAATTCGTTACAGAAATATATTAATTAAATATTTTTATATATATTTTTTTTTCAGATATGACCATCTTTGCTTCCGTCAAGCTATACGACGAATGCCCGATTTTCGATGGTGCAAAAATCCGAATTGCGGATCGGGACAAGAGCATTTTGAACGAGGTTGGAAATGAATTCGTTTATATTTTAATCGAAAATGAGCTCAGTTAATATCTAATTTTCCAATAGACGATGCTCCAATTATGATTTGTGTCGCATGTAAAAAAATGACTTGCTACACACATGATGTCCCATGGCATGAAGGTCGAACCTGTGCTCAATACGATATTGAGAGACAGACCACCGAAGGCGCCACGCGTGATACTATCGATCGCGAGACCAAACCTTGTCCTAAATGTCATATTAGGATTTTTAAGTCGGGTGAGGATGTGTTCTTGACCTTACGTTAAATTACTCATTTGAATTAATGTTTTTCAACTTATAGAAGGGTGTTCTCATATGACCTGTGCCAATACCGGATGTGGACACCAATTTTGTTGGTTGTGAGTGCCAATTTAGATTTTTGATATTAATCCTATTCTCACATTTAATTAATATTTTTTTTCGAATATTTAAGATGCGGTGCAGATTATAAACATATTCTTTCACTTGGCAACAATTATCACGAAAAGACGTGTGAGTTGTACGGTAAAGCACGGTACCGTTTTTAGAAATAACTGGATATGATTACTTTACCTCTGAAAATCACTCAGCAACACAAAATAATATTTGTCTCCTATCTGTATATTTTTTAATTATAGCGTTTTTATTACCCCGATCCTACGATAAATAACTATTCTCTTTACATTGCTTCTGAGTGTGTCAAATTTTCTTTTATTTTGGTTTTCGAGAAATTGATTTGGTATTTGGGAAGTAATCATAGCCATCGTTTCCAAAGTTTTGTTGGACTGTTCGTTTTTTCTTATTCCTATGAAAGGCACATGAATCAAAAAATATGATGAGAATCATAATATAAATAAACTTACTTGTATGCATCCAATTTTAATATTACGAGATGGCCCATTTAACATACTCATAAATGCCTCTTTTTATTGATTACATAGTTGATAAATTCAAATGCTATTTTATTGTATAATAATTTTAGCAATAGTGAATTGATATATATAATATAAAAATATAATTCAAAGCAGTTGCTTCAGTATTATATCAGCAATTTAATAATCAAATATATTAGTTATTTTTAACAAAGTATTTCTTTAATTCATTAATTTAAAATCTAAGGCAAATTTAAGTATTATTATATTTATAGAATATAATAAAGTTTTTAAATATTCTTATATATATACTTAATTTGCTTTTTTATATTAATAATATTTTATTTATATTATATATGTGTATATAATTATATAAAATAATTTTATTTTTAAAAATAAAATATTATCTAATAAAAAATAATAAGAATTTTTTTTTGATAAAATAAAACATTTAAATATATACAGTTGATATCTTATATAATTATATCTCTCTTAAGATCAAAAAAAATTAGTGTTATAAAAAAGCTTATAAATATAAAAAAGTATATTTTAATAAGTTTATTATTTATTTCAATATAATAAAAATATATTTATAAGTTAAAAATAATTATATAGTAAAATGATTATATATAAGGCTCTTTATATAGTCATCCCTCTCTATTATCACCCCCTATATAATCACATCATATAAATTCCTCATTATAAGCACACATTTTGTAAGAACTAATACCTATTAATGCTATATAAAAAACCTCCTTTATAATCACAGTGGTTTTATAATCACACCCTTTCAGACCAACACTTAGTAATAATATATAAAAAATATCTCTATATAGTAACTTTTTATTATAATCACACTTTTTATTTTTAGTTCTGAAGGGTATAACTATAAAGGGGGATAATTGTATATATTATTTTTTGTTATTAATTTATTATTATATTTTATATAAGATTGGTTGTTTAAACTTATTTGAATTTGAAAAATATTTAAATATTTAATTTTTTACTAAGATTTTAATATAGTTTTATTATTTTTATTATAATTTTACCCTTATTTAAATTTTACAGATTTTTTAATCTGATAACCTTAATTATATTGATAATTTTTAAAAAAAAAATTAAAAATATAATAAAAATCTTAAAATTTTTAAAATTTAATTTTACTTATAAATTTAAATAAATCAAATTAGTTTATTGATTTAAATTAAAAAATAACTAATTTGATTAAATTGAAATTAAATATTTTATTTATTTATATCAATTAAATTATTTTTATATTTTATTAAAATTTTTCTTAGTAATAAAGTAGTATTTAAAATTTAAGTATGTATTTTATTAAAAATTTTTAGAAAAAAACTTCAAAAATATAAAAATTAAGTCATAAAATATAATAAAATTATATGATTTATAATATAAATTTTAATAAATTTCTATATTTTACTTATATTTTTTATAGTAAATTTATTTTTAACTTTTAAAATATATTTTATTAATTTTTTTAATAAAAATATTTATAAACTTTATATTATTTATTTATTAATATTTTTATAGTAAAAATTAATTTAAAAATATTTTTTATTTAATAATAATTTCAAAAATAATATTTTATTTAAATATTACTTAATTTTTTTATTTTATAATTTATAATTTGATTTGATTTGATTTAATTAAATATTTGATATTTATAAATTTAATTAATTAAATATTTCATTTATTAAACTTTACAAAATTATTAAATTTATTATATTTTTTATAATAAAATTAAGATTATTTATGAAATATAAGTATTTTATTAAAAAGAATAAAAAAAAATAAAAATAATATAGCTTATCTTCTTATTAATATAAAATAAGTGAAAAATATAAAAAATTAAAAATATATAACTAATTTATATTTAGTTTAAATTTTTATAATAATAAAATACAATTGTCTTCCTTTATAATTATTTTCTATATAATCACATTATATAAATCCCTTATTATAAGCATACATTTTATAAAAATTAATATCTATTAATGCTATATAAAAAAACCCTTTATAATCACAGTATTTTTATAGTTACACCTTTTAAAAACTAATACTTAGTAATAATATATAAAATCCTTTCTATATACTTATTTTTTATTATAATCACACTTTTTATTTTTAGTCTTACAGAGTATGATTATAAAAAGTAATAACTGTATAAGTTACTTTTATATTAATTTATTAGTACAGTTAATTCTTATTATAATAAATTCTATGTCCTAGATCTTAAACTTTGCTATAAGACTATAATGAAGATTTAAAAGATTGAATTGGTCAATTTATTATAATAAGAGTATTTTTATTATATTTGTTTAAAAAATTTGTTATATTAAGAATTTATTATATCAAGAGTTAACTATAAATATACTTTAATATACAGTATAGATTTATATAAAAAATTTATATTAATAACTTATCTAGAAAAATTGAATATCTATCTTAAAGTATATTATTTATATAATTTATTTATATTTCTAAGGGAAGAGATAGAAATGATGTCATTTAAATTTTCAAAAGTTTTCTTCCTCTTCCTTCTATCATAGTTTTCATTTAAGAAAATTAAGTTATTACATAATCTAAATTATAAATCCTATTTTGCTGATTAGTTATAAGATTTGAAATTCTATTATTTTATTAATTTTTTATAATGCAACTCTGATTTTATTATATTTAAACATTCCTGATTTGTTGATTATCTGAATCCAGTTGATATATAGATTATCATAGAATACTAAGTTTAAATGAGAAATTTCACGATTAATAACTATATCATAATTTATAATCATTAGTAATATTTTAGGATCTCAGATTTATAAGGATTCTATAATTTTTTATAGAATCTTTGTGGATCTGAAATTTTATGGATTACCTAAAAATCTTTAGATAAATTTTAAAGATCTTTTAAGATTCTATAGAGTAACAGATTCTCTAAGAATTTTTAAATACAAATCTTTAGAGAACTTTATTTTTTCAAATAACGCAATAAAATTGGTAGATTTTGATCAAACATCAAATTAGCAAAATCTAACTAATTTAGTTTAATATCATGTAATTGAGATTTATGAAATCCAGATTTTTATTTTTTTTTTTATTTAATGTTCTTTAATTTATTTTGAAAATAGGCATATATTTTTATAGTAAATACTTATTTTCTTTTAATAGAAGTATGTAAGTATGTATATTAAGATTCTTTTTTTATTTTAATTACTAAATCTTTATAGAAAAAAAAATTCTAATATTCTTTTTAGTTTTTTTTTTGTAGGTGCTAACCTTAGATTTGGTATACAAGACTGCAGGTATGTATATTAGAAATGTTTTTTTTTGTTTTTTTTTGTTTAGAATTTTTACTAACATTTTTTGAAGTATGTAATTTCTATTTATTTTATATTAATTTGTGTAAGTCTGTTTAATACTTATTTAAATCAGCTATATGCTCGATACGTTCTTTAGGTATTATACTTACTGCACTATATATTTATAAAAAATTGATTAATTATTATTTATTTTATCACTAATAGATAAAAGATTTCTGCATAACTAATAGTCTGATTCACAATAGTTTGTCAATTAATACTATGGTCTTATAGACTATAAAAAAAGATGATTTATTTTTTAATAAAAACTTACTCCTAAATGAACCTAGTCATATTAACGAAGAAGGTCGCACTTTATCTTTTTTTATTTCTTTTTTATTCTTAAGGAACATAATTAATATTCCTTCCTTTTTTTAGAAAAAAAAGGACAAAATTGATAAATGCTTTTGAATAAACAAAAAAGTAAAGTTCATTTTTTTTTTTCCCTTTTTTTACTCTTAAGGAGCGTAATTAATGTTCATATTTTCTTTTATTTTTAGTAAAATCAGATAAATAGACAGTCAAATGACTGAAATCTTGAGATCTTAAATAAAATGATAAGTTCTTTCGTTTTTTTGTTTATTTTATTCTTTTTCTTTTTTTTATCTTTTCGTTATTTTTTTCTTTTTTTTCTTATTATTTTTATTTTTTATTCTTTTAAAGATACCTTAATAACTTTTCTTTTCTTTTTTTAGAAATAGAGCCTAAACGAATGAACAAAGCCAAAAGTACAATTTCTGAATAAACAGAAAGATAAGTTCATTCTTTTTTTTTGTTTTCATTTTTTTATTTCTTTTTATTTATTTTTAGCAATTTCAAATAAACCAACAAACTAAACGACTAGGATCTTAAGATCTTAGTGAGTAATCTGTGTTCTTTTTTTATTTTTAAGGAACATAATTGATATACCTGTTTATTTTATTTTTAGCGAACCTGAACAAATAAACAGTTTCTTAAACGAAATGTGATAAGTCATTTTATTCTTTTTTTTTATCTTTATGCTTTCAAAGAATATAATTAATGCTCTCTTTTCTA